AAGATTGGCGTAGTAACCTCCGGCGGCGGATGTATGGAAGAGTTCCCAAAAACAATTGCTACCCCCTTTCCATGGGGATATTCCAGCATCTCATGTAAAGTGGAAGAGGCAACTCTTACTTGGTGGAGCCACGACCATCCAAGGAGTAAGTAAAAGGTCGCTGGAACATCTAGAACATGAAACTCGATATCCTATTGCACCGGACCAACCTGAGTTCTGATCCGCATTATCCCCATCACCTCCTGACTGGTATTGTCATAAGCCTGAATCACCTGGGCCGTTGGTACGAAATTTGCGGGCTTTAACCCAATAGCATAGGCTGTACACGACGGACACACATTAATTGCGGATCCCGTATCAACCAAGACAACTGGTACCCACTTCTCTTTACACTCCACAGAGATGTATAACGGCATGTTATGCTCGGAGCCCTCATGCAGTAATTCTTTAGTTGTGAATGTCAAAGTTGGTGAAGCGCCACCCGGGAACACCAGTCCCACCAATTGCTCGGGGGTTGTATCAATAGAAAGCTTAGCCTTGTCCATTGTTGATAGGATAGCATGTCTATGCAACCGCGAGGCCGTAAGCAATCCGTAGATAGAGATGTTTTCTTGAATCTTTTTTAGCTTCTTTAGTATAGCTTCCTCCTCTAGCAGTTTGTCTTTCTGCTACTCAGCTTCCTTGTCTTTCTCAGATGCCTCCGGTTGATCCAAGTGTGGGGGCTTGAAGTACCTCCCACTCCGAGTCATGTGGTCGACTTCTTCGGTATACCATATATCATCCAGGAGATTCTGTCCACAGTCCTCATTAGTATGGGCCAGGCGCAAATCATCATCTTCACATCACATTCACTCGGCAGCCGACAAACGGCTGTCTGGTTCCGCTGCAGTTGTTTCCGTGTTCACAACACATTCTGTCCCCGTAGGGGCCTTGGCTTTTCTAGCCCTCTGATCAGTCTTGATCCGTTCTTGTTCAAACCGCTTCAGCGTGACCTCTTGTTTTGTATCTGCTGTACAAATACTACTCAATTCCCGAGCAAAATTCTTCATAGTGGTGCTCTCCCGCAACTCCCCTTTGTAGTCGACCGTTCTGGCCATTGTAGACGTTCCTGTTTCCGACTGTCCCTGTTTCGGCTGAGACCCTTTATCAATATTTGACTCATCACTAAGCCACCCTACATTATCTGTTGATCCATTCAGGTCAAACCAGTTGATGCGCACATCCCCCAAATCCTATTCATTAAAAAATTACAGATTAGCAATGTCCTCCTCAAGCTCTGCTAAATCATCCAGCCCCTGACGTAGCCCGTCCTTCCGGACTACATTCACCTCAGTCCCCTTCGACAATTCCACCCTCAGCTTGGCCTAATCAGCTAGCGTAATAAAGCGGCAAGGGTTGTATGCTTCCTCAGTTAAGTCCACAGAGCCCTCAAGCGTACTCTTTTCTACCATAGCCACCACCACGGGTTTGGGTTGAGGTATTGACGTGCTCATTATGCATAAGTCTTTGCATTCTGGGAAGAACAACGCCAACTTAGGCAGGTAGGAGGGAGTTATGTATATGTTGGGGTCGTATGGGACGACCATTGTTTGGATCAGGTCTACTTGCCTAGGTAGATGAGGGGGTTGATTATGTGGTGGAAGGGGATTTGTAGTGACGTTTGGCTTCTCAGGAGCCGCTATCACTTTGTTGTCAATGAGATCTTGAATCTCATGACGAAGTCTAAAGCAGAGATCAGTATCATGCCCATGCTGCTGATGGAAGGCAAAATACTTGGCTGGGTTGTGTGTAAGAGGGAGAGGATTTGGCAACGGGCGTGGTTCTAGGGGCTTCAAATGCCCTTTTCTAATCAGGACCCTGAAGGCCATAGACAGAGACATGTAAAGTGGGGTGAAAACCCTCTGGCCCCAGGGTGGGTACTTTGCAGGTTGTAAGATGGCTCTAGATGTGCCAGTAAAGGGTGTGGCTGTCTTTGGTGTGATGGTGACCATACCGACGTCCGAAGCCCTCACAGCTGCATTGCTACTCGTAGCTGTATTCAAACTGCGGGTAAACGCTCTCTTGGGTTGCTCCTTTTTATGGTCAATCAGACACTGTTTCATAGCGTCTTCTATCTGTAACCCAGTCTCATGAAGATCAACAAAGGTGGGGAGGGGTAAAACAATCATTCTTTGCATCAGCTTCGGCTGTAGATTTCGAACGACCATCCTTATCTGATCTTTCTTAGCTGGCCTAGTGGTCATCATGAAGGCCTTGGCCCTCCATCAAGTGACGAAGTTAGAGAAGCCCTCCTTCGGCTCTTGCCTAGTTACCTCGAGATCACGAGTTGTGACCTCGATTTGAGTACTGTAAGGATATTGGGTGACGAAGGCCTCGGCCATCTCTTCCCAACTCCTCTTCACTGAATCATCCAGTTTAGCATACCAGATGGCCACAATACTCAAGAGGGTCTGACCAAAAAAGGATAGCTTTTGCAGTCTAGTCAGGCCCATCGGCCGTAGAATGTCTAAAAACAGCCTTAAGTGGACCATAGGATCGCCCGAGCCGTCGAAGCGGTCTATATGAGGCATTTTAAATATGTCCGGCAATGTCACCGTTGAATCTGTGTAGCCATCCTCTATGTCTGGGATCAAGTTAACTCCTTGAGCTCACTTGAACAACTTTTTGAGCTTGCTTACTTTCAAGGCTGTAGGATCGACCTCAAATTCGAACGGTGTATCTGTTGGGCAGGCAAGTGCTTTGGAAGTCTGAGGTGGGACTGGTCTCGCTGGATTGTCTGTATTCTCCTGGACATTAGCTGTATCCCCGGGTGTTGGAACCCTAGCTGGGGGTGCGTACGAAGCAGAAGCTGCTGCATGTTGTGGTTGTTGTTGTTGTTGAAGCCTAGAAATTACCTCAGCCTGCTGGGCTACAACTTCTATTTGACGAGCGATGACTTCCGCTTGGCGAGCAGTATCCCGCTGTATGGCCTCGATGGTTTGTTGGAGTTGATGCATCATTTCCTCCATACTGACTGAGGGGTACTGATCTGACAGAACCGGTATATATTCTGAGATAGAAGCAGAAAACTGGTTTTCACTGAGCACATGTGACTGACGAACTGGTGAATTATGTCGAACTCTCCTCCGTCTTGTAACCGGGGGAAGCGAAGCAAACACTGGTTGTCCTCTCACAAGATCCCCAGATCGATAAAGCCTCCTTACTCTGGTCCAGAGTGCTTGGGGGCTAACTGCCTCGTCGGAAGCAATGATGAAAATACTACCTTGCAAAACAGAAAATAAAGCAAAAGAAACAAAAATCAGAAAAACGTACAGCACCTCGGCTTAGATAAAGACAACACACATTTGAAATCATAAACTGGACAATCTGCACTCAAACACTGATTTCTGCCCCCAAATTTTCTGCCACAAAACTGATACCCTCAAACACTGATGTCCTAAGACTGATACCCAGGCTTGCAGCTGATACATACATTCTTGTAGAGACACACCCTAATAGCAGATATCAAGCAAGTGAGAGCCAAAACACCCCTATGGCGGGGTAGGGTTTCCCTGTCCTAGTTTCGTCAGGAACTAGGGGTTCACTGCGCACGCATTCGGTTTCAAACAATCCTGTATTCGAGTGAGCAACCTGTCCTAGTTTGGAACAGTCTCTATGGCTTTTGATATGCAACTAGGTCAACAAGTCAAAAGGGGTGCCTCAGCAAGACCACCTAATATACCTCTCGCTCCTAACACCGAGAAGTGAAAGGAGGATCAAACGGTATGTTTGTAATCCAGATCCAAGGTTTGTGTTCCCATTGTGGTAGAGCCTGTGACCGGTCAGCCTTATGGTAAGCTTTTCCAAGTAAGCCTCCGACAAACCATTCAGGAATAACAGATGGCAAACACTGTGACTTAGGCGCACCTATGCAAATGCAATGCAAAGAAACACATAAATGTAGATAAAACAACATATCATGAGTTTTGAGTCAAGTTCTCTAAATCCCCAGCAGAGTCGCCAGAAACTGTAGACTCGACTTTCTTCGCGCGCCCCCCTTTCGGAGAGGCGCGAATTGGTCTCCTACAATTTGGACTCCTATCACGGTTCTGAATCTAATCTCACAAAGTGCAATGTGAGATTGATAAACACCAAAGAGTCCAATTCGGCAAACCATTTTGAAAAATCAGATTTTGAATCTAATAATGCCAAAACATGGACTGCTTTTCCAGATTACAGAGCCGCCACCCAAATGTTTTATTTTTGAGAAATTTAGGAAACTCTGACTCATGCCAAAGGCCATGTGTCCGTCATCACCAAAGTTGCCTCAGCTCGGGAACTTGGGTATGGTAGGGGAAGGTCCTGAAATGAGCACCCCCACTCGCCCGATCAAAGGATCGGCCTCTACTACCATGATATGTTGTTTTATAAACCTCATGTGTTCTTATTCCGATTATTAGCTAACTTCACTATGTGACGCACACAAGCAACACTACAACAAAACTGAGTTTTTACAGCTTCACATCAATGACATACAGTACATGTAAGTTGTGGTTTCTCATTTTTACGGCTTTCTTTTTTTGCATGTCGTAAATAATTTTCTAACCACAGCGTGTCTATTGCGTATGCCGTAAATGCTCATAATGATAATTTTTTACAACTTGTAATGTTAGCCGTGAATAATAAAACTTTGTATGACATGCAAATGACATGCCGTCAATACATAAATTGTACATGACACACGTATGTTAGCCACTAACCATATTTTATTTTTTATGACACACAATTTAGGCCGCGAATGATATGACCCAAAAAAACTAGGTGCCAAAATAGAATAGATTTGGCGCCAGTGAACAAAGCATTAAGCGAAATGAATTATTTTTTTTTTAAATGAAAATACAAACTGTTTGGCTTCTTAATAGGGTTCTAAAGGAATATAGAAGGAATATAGAGAGTTGTAAATCAGATAATAGAAGAGAGGGAGAACAGAGAGGGTTTGAAAGGGAGACTGGTTTAGCGGTGCAAGATTTCGATCTAAAAAGCTGCGCTCCCTTCGGTGATGAGACTGGTTCGGCGACGGCTACGATCGACGGTTTGAAGGGGAAGGGTTTCGTTCTTGAGGTATGTTCGGATTCCCTCTCCCCTCTCTCTCTCTCTCTCCCCATTTTATTCGCTTAGTTTCCCTGCCTGCGAGAATAGTTACAAGAGGAAGTGAAGAGTTTGTAGGTCAAATCCGATATAAATCCATGAGACCAGAAAAACTCAGCCCTTAAGGAAATTTTTTTTAATCATAAATTAGCAAAAAATCTGTGATTAAAAACTTTGTTTTTATTTTTAAACTGCAATTGAAATCTACTAGAATTTGAAAATCTTTGTCAAAAACTAAACAAAATTTTGCGTTATGAGACGTTTAAACTTCTCACAATATTAAAGACTTGTAAGTGAATGGTTAGGCACTGAATGGTTCCATTATTTGTTTAATCCATGTTCTTGAATTGGCTCCACAAGCTATGGAAGATAGTTAAAAAATCACTTAAAATGTATATAAGAAGTTTATGTGTGTTAATGTGCTTAAGTTTGCATAAATAATAGTGCTATATATGAGATAACATTACCTTGTTTTGGCATGAAAGGCAGCTTTCTCCCTAACCACCAGAATCAACTTGTTTGGTTAATAAGAAATCACATGCTTTTCTGATACGATAACTGTTTTGGAAGGTCCTTCAACCAGACACCAACCCTTTTATCCCAAACCATGTCCCATAAGTATAACAACCTCCCAATGATCCATACCTACATGAGAACTTTAACCATGCTAAGTGGCTTATCCCATGAAATTTAAGCCTTTATTTATTTATTTATTTTTCAATGGATAGTGAGAATAGTTAATTTAAAGAAGATGTGAAAATCCAGTGCAGAAGTAGTAGTTTTAACTTTTAATAAACATCAAAAAGAAAGGTTGAAAAAAACTTGATTACAATTAGAATCTCCAATTCAGATCACTACTAGTTACCAGGGACTTAATCTTCATACCAATGATTTGAAAAGTAGCCGACCTACCCATGGATCAAAATTTCATTTTAACTGTATTCACTACAGTCTAGTTGGCAAACTTGGTCACTTGACACCACCTTTGAAGTGTGAAGTTTCTTGGTTTGTTGTATAGTTTTACCAAATTTATGAATATGTTGATTCATGTGGTGCAACTTGACCATCAGTGTGAGACAATATCTTAAAAGAAAGTAGCAATCTTTTATAATAATAATAATAATAATAATAATAATAATAATAATCCTTTTAAGATATGAGGCCAGAAGATAGCCACAAAGTCCCCGTGTCGTTTTGGATGAAGTGTAATTGTGAACTCAGTTAATTATATATGTAAAATGACTATAATATCTTCAAACGTTATATCTTTTTAGTTATTCTCTCTCTCTCTCCCCCCATTTAATTCGGTTAGTTTCTCTGCCTACATAGCGAGAATAGTTACAAGAGTAGACTGTTGTTGCCGTCTGTGTTGCTGTAAATGATATCAAAAAAAATAAATAAATGAAATCAAATTCCCATCTTATTTCACTATCAATCCCTCCCAAACTAGAAAGTTAAATCCTTCCCTCCCCCTCCTTTATTCTTCTTTTATTCAATAAATAAATAATAAATTCGCAAAAGGATACATTGTTTGGAATGAAGTGCCATTGTGTCTAATATAAAGTTTTGCAAATTATAAAGTTATACAAATAATCAATTTATATCAGAGAGAGATATCATCATGTCTATTGCTATTATTATTTTAATTTACATTTACATGATCATTATCGTTAGCATCATCCAGTAGTAACGGAATAAGCCATGAATAATAGCAGAGCTTTGCCAGTGTAGTTCTCCGGGTGCATTGATCCAGTATTCTATTTAGCTTGGGTATCAATGGCATATAATGATATCTTACTTTAGTGAATGGAGCAGAAATTTGCTAAAACTGGCTGAAAATTATATCCCTGTATTTCTCTTAATGTAATTGTGAATTCAGTGACAGCTATTTACTGGACAGCATTCATATACAGATTACTTCAGCGTTTATGTTAGAATAGCATTTCTTTATCTCTTTGGCTTTTAAATGTATTTCTTTTTTACATAACTTCAGTGTTTATGTTAGAATAGCATTTCTTAACCATATTTCACATCTAGTAACTAGTTCTTTGCAAAATGCAGTGGTTTCCTTCACAAACCCACGCACACTCACTTCCTAATTATGGTTCACTCTTAGTAATTTATCATGCTGGATAACCTTAATGCAAGAATTCAAGTGACAAGTAGCTGGGTTTCAACTTTAGCAAAGGTAATAAGAATATGAAATCATTTTTCTTATTCACTCAATCAACTATTACAGATAACAACTGATCTAACAAACCAACTAACTAACTAACCAATCTAACAAACTAACTAAATATGTAACTATAGCTAACTAACTGAAGGTGTAGTTGTAGCAGTAGCAGTATGCTTAGCATTGGCAGTACGCTTATCAGTCCCCCTCAAGTTGATGCGGCATGGAAGCACCAACAACTTCTCTTTAAGATAGTGAAACTGAACTGAAGAAAGGGGCTTTGTAAGAATATGAAATCATCTTTCTTATTCACTGAATCAACTATTACATATATTTATACACTAAGAGTTACAACTGATCTAACAAACTAACCAACCAACTAACCAATCTAACAAACTAACTAACTATGTAACTATAGCTAACTAACTAAAGGTGTAGGTGTAGCTGTAGTTGTAACTGTGGGTGTAACAGTAGTAGTATGGTTATCAAAAGGCCTCTTAACTTACAGGCTATCTATGAGATCTTGTTGAGTTCGAAACAGTTAACTAGGTCCATACCTCACCTAGTGCTTCTTATTTATACAACTCTGGTTACCTGTCTTGAAGATCTTCCTTTACGGATTACTTGATTGATGATTGAGTCATACTTTAAGAATATTTAACTTTTGGACTAGCTTGTAATTAACATGGTATCAGAGTAAATCAAATATGGTGTTCAATTTCAACAACTATTGGATGGCCCACTCATGGAGGGGATTCTGGCCACATTTGCTGGGTCGTGTTGATGATCTAAAAATGTAAACTACATTTGGGTGTTGGTTAATGCCTGCTGTTGCGAATTTTGGGTGTTGGTTAATGCCTACTGCTGCAAATTTTGGGTATTGGTTCCTTTATTGTGTTGCTGTCTGGCTGTTGCTGCTGTTAGTTGGGAGTGACCTACTGCTGTGTGTGTGCTACTGTGAATTTTGGGCCTGCTGCTATATGTGCTGTGTGTGTGCTGCTGTGAATTTTGGGCCTTCTTGTCACGCCCCACATTTTATTACTCGATGTATTACCAATTTCATTTACTTAATTCCATTTCAGAGATAACATGCGGAAATAAACTCGTATATTCAACTCGTAGAAGTGAATAACATTGCTCTCATTCGTATGCAAGTAAATACAACATGAGAATAATAAATAAATTGCCCTTGGGCTTACATCATTAACAACAAATCAAGAAGAAGGGTGCAACCCTTTTACACATATGGCATTCCGCCCATATAAGAGAGGCCCCGTGGCCACAAATCAGAAGGTCCAAACCTTGCAGCACATTCAGCTCTACACCTGAAAAAGATTCAGCAACGTGGGATGAACATATAGTCTAGTAGGAATCTCAATATGGCCCTCAACAATAACAACATACAGATAGCTATGATCATGTACACCCAATCTCATACTAGAATAGTAATGTGACAATTTGTACAAAATATCATAAGTATGAACTTTTCTTGAAAACAACCATTTCAATCAACACCATAGGCGATTTCTCTTTCCTTTTCTTTTCATTAATCCCCGTTCCCAATCTTTCATAACATTAACAATACCTTAAGAAATAATTTCACTAAGCCCACTACTCTCTTCCATTCTCCAAACATATACAGATATGCCTTTTCAAAATATATATTTTCTTTAAAAAAAATCCGTTCTCCTTCACACTTTCCAAAAGACAAAGATGACATTTGGCTTCTTCCCGATACAATCAAATCTATGCATGCACCGTCATAAAAAGGGAAATAACAACTCAGCAACATGCATAAGATAAAACAATGAGGTGACTCAGCCCTCCAAAACTGTAACTGACACAATCCATGACATTCCCAGACACACTGAAATATCAACAACAAAATTTTGCTCTACTAGCTATGTGCGTAGTAAGCCAAAGATACACCTATCACAACAACATGCCAGTTTACCAGGCGCAAGCTGGAAGGGTATGGTGCCTTATATTCTTAGTGCATTCAGTTCTCCAGGCGCTAGCTGGAAGGTCACGGTACCTCTGATTTTTAGCGCAAGGTATAACACCACCAATAGAAATGCAACAGGGCATAACCAACATATATAACACATATACACAAACCATCAAGATACAAGCAATGTGTTAAAGTATATGAACACATGACTACCTCCTCCCGAGCAAGTATACATATGTAATATATCTCAACACTTCATCACATACGATGTTCAATCAACAATGGTATGATGCATACACGACAATTCAACACAACCGTGTCATCCTCCACCGATGACCAAGAACAAAACCTCTAGATGCAAATATTTAGTACATCTATTATAGACTCAATTACTATGAGACCACAAACCCAACAACAACATTAACATGGTAGTTAAAGATACAATCCCACACATGTGTGCGTTCAACACTCAAGAAACAACAATCCAATTTTCATACGTATTTCAAAAATACTTTTCCCATTTCGCAAAACAAGTTCCACTCCTCTTTTGTTTTCACAAAATCAACTCCGTCCCTTTTGTTGTCACAAAACCAAATCCATTCCTTTTGTTTTACAAAAAACCAATTCCATTAATAAGAAAGCCATAACTCACATTAGTCCACTACATTCATTTCAAAACCATTCCAAAGCTAAAGTTAACCCCTTAGGCATTAACACCTTCACCCAACTCACATCAACAATAGAGATTTACAATATAGGTTCACTATCCTCCATTTTAATTTATCAATCAAAATATGATTTAGGGCTTTTTCTTCTATCAACTACAACATGCTAATTTACACTCCAATTAGTCCAAAACAACCATCAATGATAACATAACCATTTTTCAAACACTCAACCCTAGGTTCCTTCTCATGATTTCAAACAAATCCAACATGGATATGATTTTTATGCAATACAAAATTACCACATGTCTATCTATAGACGAAGTATTGAAAAAGAATAAGGAAATCCCTACCTCAAATGTAGAACCCAAGGAGAAGAAGAGCTAAACTCGGAAGTGCTCCAAACACCAAATTTCTCGGATCAAAATGTAGCCCTCAATGATCAACACACTTCTTACAAAGGCTCAAGGTGAGGAAAACACTCCTACTAGATCAAACCCTAGAGAGAAGTTAGGTTTTAGAGTGAGGAGCTCTCAAAAATCGGTTTTGGGAAAGTAAGAGAGAGAAAGGAAATGTAAAAAGTGATTTAAAATAGCCTAGCTGCCAACTGATATACGACTCTCCCGCTCGAGCGGAGAACACAACACTCGAGCGTCAAGGACAAAAACTAGGTACGCTCGAGCGCAAGAAGGCCCGCTCAAGCGCCAAGACACAAGAATAAAGTACATCTGCTCGAGCGCGAAAACCAGTCCGCTCGAGCGTAGATTTCTCCCTCCCAGAACTTACACCAAAAAGTACTACCCGCTCGAGCGCTAACAATCCCGCTCGAGCACAAGAAACCAGCTCGAGCGTAGAAAACACATCTGCAGAAGTTTTGCAGAGGCACGAAATACTGAAACTGTGAAAACCCCGCTCGAGCGCAAGAAGACCCGCTCGAGCGGACCAGTCAAAAACTAGACAACAACAATGGGAGCTAAAGCTCTACCAACCTGTAACAACCAAGCCCGACACATTCTAAAACTCAAACAAAAGAGTTTAAAGGTTGACAACACGCTAGGTACAACTACCAACTTCACGGAACCGCGTCCGGAAAACAACAGAACAGCAAAGGGATAACCGGGATTGCTATACTTCTACACTTCATCAAATTGCCATTTGAATTTGAATTTATATATATATATATATATAGAGAGAGAGAGAGAGAGAGAGAGATCAAAATCAATTGTAATAGAGTGTAAGAGAATAGTGATTTGGCAGAGAGAAGATCTGTGTATATATATCAATTTTTGCTTCTAGACTTAGTCAGATTGCCATTTTTATACTACACATTGAAAAGATGTATGTAGTTTGTAATATTTTATGTATTTTCCTTCTATTTTTGGTGGACTTCTTGCCCTTGTTATACTTTTTTTTGGGTATTATTTTTTAATTTTCCTCTGGTTATTAACAAATTTCTATTTGTTGTCAATCTAAAAAAAATGTTGATTAATTATATAAGTTTCAAGAATATTGTTATTCAAATAACAAAAACTTCCAATGGCTTAATGTTATTATTTTGAAATTTATTTAATGCTTATTATTTATTGTCTTCTTGTGTTTATTCACTTCATACTTTATGTAACCCTCTTGATGGTTATCTTTTCAATTATTTGACATGCAGAGTATGTCCCCTAAGCTTTGAACTAGAGGCTACATTGAAGTTGGCAATATTTCTGTATAGGTAGACTTGTTAACCCATTTTCTATGGTGATGACTGCAACACACTATCTTGAATGAATTTAGCCTGTAGGAGTGGGATGATATCTCGGAATCTCTTTGATGGAAATGTGCAATCCATAGATAAGTGTAAATTAATGGCACTATTATTTATACAATGTTGCCTGTATCATTTTATTATACATTTTATAAAGGTATGAAGTATACATATTTCAATTTTGAGTTGTATTTAGAATTTTTTTTGGGATTTAATTTTTTTAAATATTTAAAAATGTTTATGAAAAATTTATTTTTTTAATTTTAAATATATAATTTTTATTTAAACATTTTTAAAATTTTTATTTTAAATATTTTATTTTTTTTGTAAATATTTTACTTTTTTTAATTTTTTAAATTCAAAACACAACTCTATACTCATTGAGAACCATTAATGAGAAATTGAAATTCTAAAATACCATCTTAGTGTATTTGCTAATCATTTTGAGCATTGATGCATGTAACTAGTTCGAGCGATTTTTGTGGATGCAATTTGTTAGCAAGTGGAAAGTTCAAGATGGATAAACAATGGGTACATTTTTCAAGGTTTATTTCCAAAAACAACCATAAATATGCTTTCAAATACTAAGCTACTCAAATTTTTTTTTTGGATGGAATTAATAATAATTTAAAATTTTCAGAGTATCGGATGAGTATTTGGATGGAGCGAGAAAATTTGTCAATATGGCTAAGGAGAATGCAGGGAATCTCGATATGATCATATGCCTTGTGGAAGTTGTCGAAACCTATCACAACAACAATGTGATACTGTGTTTGAGCACTTGGTCATGAAAGGGATGGATCCTAGATATACGTCATGGGTTCTTCACGGGGAACAACTAAGTGAATCTATAAAAGTTCAAGAGAATGTTGAAATTCCTGAGACTTATAGGATGTTTAGAGATGTTTATGCACGAGCTGATTTTTCGCAACCTACTAATGAAGGTAGAGAGAGGGAGTTCACACAAGCATTAGAAGATGCTAAAACTCCTTTATATCCAGGTTGTACAAAGTACACTAAGTTCTCAACAATTGTTGCTTTATATAAGCATAAAGTTGTGCATGAGGCATCTGATAAGAGTTTTGATGAACTCTTGAGAATAGTGTCGGACATGCTACCAGAAGGCAACACTCTTGTGCATTTTATATATTGAACAAAGAAGTTGCTTAAACCATTTGATCTTGGATATGACAAAATACATGCTTGTGTCAATGATTGTTGTTTATTTTGAAAAGAGTTAGAGCATATGGAGACATGCCCAAAACGCAATAGTTCATGTTGGAAAGTAGATAAACGAACTAAGAAGATTAAAAAGGGGGTTCCAGCGAAGGTGTTGCGTTAATTTCCCATAATTCCAAGATTTAAAAGAATGTTCAGGTCACAAGTAAAAGCAGAACAATTAACTTGGCATTCTACTCACAAAAGCCAAGATGGAAAGATGCGACGTCCAGTTGATTCATTGGCATGGGATTCAATTGATCAAAAGTGGCCCTCTTTTGCATCGGATCCACGAAACCTTCGACTTGGTCTTGCAGTAGGATTTAATCCTTTTGCAAATCTTAGTTCAAGGTATAGTTGTTGGCCAGTGATGTTGGTGACTTACAATCTTCCTCCATGGTTATGCATGGCAAAAGAAAATATAATGTTGATATTATTTATACCAGGACCAAAGCAACCAGGGAATGACATAGATGTTGTAACAGCGCCCGCGTGAGGGGGGGCCTCGTGCTACTACAGTTCGGACTCTCGATTTGTGTCACGGTTCTTAATCTTGAACCAAAGAGTCCAAATCTGGCAAATCGTTTTGAGAAACAAATTTTTTTGAAAAGAAGTGCCAGACATGGACTGCTTTGCCAGATACAGAGTCGCCATCTAAATATTTTTGAAATGGGAAATTTAGGAAACCCTGACTCGGTGCCGAAGGCCACATGTCTGTCATCACCGGAGTTGTCTCGGCTCGGGAGCTTGGGTACGATCGGGGAAGGTCAGCTATGAGCACCCCCTTTCGCCCGGTCCGAAGACCGGCCTCTACTAACCGTGATATCCGTTTTTGAAAACTTTACGTGTTCTAAAACCAATTATTAGCCTAGAATTACTACGTTATGCGCGCAGCAAACAAGTATAGACCAAATTGTCTAATTTGGAAATAAGCATTGCATATCCGTTTGTTTTGAAAAGCGCTTTGGAAATTGCTACTCGCAAGTAGGCTAAAATACGGATTTCAACAAGTTTCATGTATTGGTCATGTTTTAGTGGGTTTTTGGCCATCATTTGGCATACCATGATTCTATTTTTGGCTGGTTTGGTAGCCTCTCATGTGTTTCATATGCTTGTAGTGCAAATCATGTTAACTAGCTCGAAATGCATGATGTTTTGGCCTTCTATTCTAGCATATTTTGGCGTTGATCCAAACTGATTTTGTTCATATTTTGGGCTGCCTTAGCTCTTTTTTGAGGCCTCTTGGTCGAATGATGCTTGCCATGCATGCTAATAGCATTGCCTAGCTTTGAGTTTTTGAGGTCCCTTGCATGCTTAACTTGAGGTATTTGCATGTTTTGGCATGATGAGGAATGTTATTTCAGAGCTTATTTCTTGGCCACATTCTCATGTTTGTCACTCCTTCAATGTGTTTGAGAGTTACATCATTATACCTCATTTGTGAGCCATTGCATGAGCCCCATTTTTGTGTCTTTCAAGCCATCATCTTTGTTCACTTTTGCTCCTATTCTGGCCTACATAGGGTCTTCTTGGAGTTGGTTTAGCCATTTGAGCATTGCCTTGCATGCTTATAGTGTAATACACTTCACTAGTTTCGGTGCTTGAGCCATTCAACATGCATTGTGTGAGGTGTTTACATCATTTGAAGTCATTTTGTATGCCATTTCAGAGTTGGAACATGTTTCCTTGCACTCGATATTTCATCATTTTCAATGCGTTTGGAAAGTTGTGTTTTATGCCCTAGGCTTGGGGCCATTGCATTGGGTTTGTTTGCATGAGTTTTGGAGCCTTGTTTTCATCATCTTTGGCGACTGACTTGGGTGTGGCTGAGGTCCATCCATTTTGGTTTAAGTCCATTTTCATCGAGTATGCCATTGTAGTTCATAGCATTGAGTATGCAAACATAATGCACATGACACATAAATAAGCATGTAATGCACAGATAAATGCATAATTAAGATTAACCATAAAATTAACGGCTGAGTAAGAGGCAGGCACTACAGTCTCTCCCCCTTTGGATGTTTGGTCTTCCAAACTCAAGTACCTTCTTCAGTGAAGAGTGCAGGGTCTAATGGAACAGTTCGGGGTATTTCTCTTGCATATCCACTTCTCTCTCCCAAGTTGCATATATGCCACTATGGTTTTGCCAGTCTACCTTTACTAACAGAATGTATTTATTCCTCGACTTCTTAATACGACGACTAACAATCCGGATGGGCCATTATGTATATGTATAGTCATCACTCATAAGTACCTAAGTAGGTTCAATAACTTGTTGAGGTTCTAAAAGAGATTCTCTTAACATGGAAATATGGAAAACATTATGCATGTGTTCCATGTCCGGAGGTAGAGCTACCCGGTATGCCACTAGATTCAGTTTCTCAATGATTTCATACGGTCCGACGTATCGAGGTGCTAACTTGTCTTTGCCTCCAAAACGAGTGTGTCCCTTCATTGATGTAACTTTGATAAAGACATGGTTGCCTACTTCATATTCTCTCTTCCGTCTGCGCACATTAGCGTAGCTCTTCTGTTAGCTCTGTGCTGTTTTCAACCGTTGCTAGATCAACTTTACTTTCTCAGTAGTCTCTCGCACAAGTTCGGGTCCCAATAACGGTCTCTCTCTGACCTTAGTCCAAAAAATTGGCAACCGACATTTCCTACCATAGAGAGCCTCGTATGGTGCCATGCCAAGACTTGAGTGATAACTATTATTGTATGCAAATTCAACCAAAGGAAAACGTGTCTCCCAAATTCCTTGAAAATCTAGTACACACATGGGTAGCTTGTCCTCTAGTGTCTAGATTGTCCTTTCTGATTGGCCATCTATTTGTGGATAATATGCACTACTCAACCTCAATTCAGTTCCCATTGCCTTCTGTGAACTTTGCCAAAATCTCGAAGTGAACTTCAGCTCCCTATCAAATATAATCCACACATAATTTGTTACACAATTAACTAATTAGTTTCATTACTTAGGAATTAATTGGTTTAAATGTCTTTTATTCTCATTAATGCCCATGCAGTGTAAATGGACGTCAATTACGAATACAAATCACATTAACGGAGGCCTGGGAGTAGGGTAAATGAAGCAGAAAAGTGAAACCGACGCTACCAAACAGCCGCATGTGCAGGACTCTCTCTGCACGTGTGCTGCACGTGTGCCACAAGGTGCTTTCTATGCAGAATGCTCCCAGCACCTCTCTTGTTGTCCGTATGTGTGAGCCTGCCCGCCGCACGTGCGGTTCTGGGTGTTCCAGAATCGAATTTTTGTGTTTGTTTTCTGAGCTTCAAACCACCAAAAATCAAACCCAAATTCAATCAAATCAAAGGCTAAAAGTTAAAAACACATGGTGTATAAACAATTACCAAGTTCAAACGAAAAATAGAACTTTAAATTCAAACTCAAGTTCCACAATCTCACAAACAACTTCAAGGTTAAAGAGAAAACAAAACCTGTGCATATGGAAATTCTATGTTTCAACAAAACCATGGAAATCTAGCTTACAATCATGTAAGACCAAGTAAATGAGCTTGAGTAATGCCATTCAGGCAAGGATATGGAAGAATTCCTCCTGTTAGGGTTATTACACCACTTATACTACTCAACTCCTTACTCTCTCCCTCAATCCCATTTATTTCATTTAGTCTTACTTAGATGGTCTACAAGCCCTACCCTGCCTCTCAAAGGCAAGATGTCAGTGTTTGGTGCAAAACCAGACACTAAACGGTCGGGTTCGGAGATCCTGAGGCAAGGTGCGTGAGCCGAGGCCTCCGGGAAATCCAAACGAACACAAACAAGGATAATCACCGAGTGTTCAAACGGTGACGTCCAAGTCTTGAGGACGGTCAAAAATGGGGTGTCTACAGATGTGCATATGCAACCACTTATAGAAGGCCTACAAGAATTATGGAATAATGGTGTCGAGGTCTATGATGCAGCCAGCAAGTCTATGTTTAA